GTGGGTCTCCCGGGGACGCAATAAACCTTTCCTTTTCTTTCTTTTCTGACTCACTCGACTCTTTATTTCCTACGCCGCCTCCTGAGCCACCTAACCTAACACAACAGACCTGAGGATTTATTCCTAATATTATTTGACATGGGTCATAACCTCATTGTCTTGAGGCCTTAATGCTTAAGGGACTGGTTATGTAAGGGCTTGTATAGGAGTCGTAGGCTTTTCTCTGGCCCCTTAGTTCCTCCTCTAAGGGGGACTACCACATGACTAGTGGCATGCCACAGGAGGAAAGGTCACCCTGGGGGCAAGGTCTTACCCTACAACCCTTGTCCTCCCAGTGTTGCCCCTTGCTAGGCACCTGGGACTTTCCACTCTGGTGACCTTTGCACCTGGCCAATCATTCCTGCTCTGTTCATGTCTGTCTGTCTATTATAGAGTGTCCCCCAAAAATGTATTCACATACTTTGAATAATTACAAAGGCAGTGTATATTAAAATACATTTCATTTTCAAAATTGAGCTATCAGCTATTAGTGTGTATACATTTTTGAGGACACCCTGTATATCACTAGGATTACTCTCATTTTATAGATGAGGAAACTAAACCTTAAAGAAATAAAACAATTTCCCCAATTTCCAATATCACATAATTAGTAAGTGATAAAACCATGCAGACCTCCACAACCTACTCAATACCTTGTATTCTGAAGCTGAATTAGCCAATACAGAAAAACTCCTGAAGAAAGATTTGGGTCTATGGGGGATCAAGAGTGATACAATCTTAACATCCTACTTGTGGCTCTACCAGATCCCCCCAAATCAACTTCTGGTTAATGTCAGCAGTACCACTTTTAGGTAAACCAAGTAAAAATGTACAAAACCAGATCACCAAAAGAGGGTAGTAGAGTTTTACTGGTCCTAGGAAGCTAGTCAGCTGTTCTGTTATCCTGAATGCATCAGAGGAAAGAGATTTGAATGCCTGCAGGGTGGGTGAAAAGAATGACTAAAGGTTGTTTGTTGGAGAGAGAAAGAGAAACAGAAAGCAGCACCAACTTGCCCCAGGGTAAGAATGCTCACTTTGAGGAGGTCCCTTTAGGACTGAAGTTGAAAGAGAATGGGGAGCTCTCAGGAAAGCTAAGCTGCCTCTGTCTCCCTTGAGGGAAAGGTATGGGGAACTCCTTGATGCTACTATCCTCAGATAGCAAAGATTCTGGCGCTATAACTGAAGCATTAAAGTGGAAATCCAGGTGGGGCTCTTACTGTTTCGAGATCCCTACTTCATTTAAGCCTTCTTGAGTAAGTAAACACCAGCAACACTTTCCAATCAAACATTTTACCTTTGTGTTTGCTCGCTGTCGACCATTTGTCTTTGATATTTCAGCCAGATCAATGTTCAGAAATGAGACCTTGGAGAATCAAGGCCTTTCACCTTGCATTTATTCCTCTGCCTGCCCAATAACAGCACAATACTGCATTGCTCTGGAGCCCTACTGCAGATAAATTAGCTAATGTCTACAGAGGAAAATGAAGATTAAAATGGTGCATGTACAATAGTCATGAATAATGAGCACATGAGCGATTCGTCACTCCAAACTTAGGTATTAAAGCTGATCTGCTAGGAAACCGTGCCATTTTTCTCGATGATAGTTCAATTTAAAAGGATGCCCCTTTAAAAAATGACCTAGTAGCTTTAAATTAGATTTTAAAATAATTTTCATGTTTCAAACTATTAGCTGTTTATTTAGAGTCCCATTTTACATAATGACTCATTATCTGCCAGGTCATTCTGAGCATTCCACAAAAGGATTCAACTAGGGCCAGATTTTTTTTTTTTAAACTTAGCTAGTAAAAATGTTTCAGAAAATTGCTGGCATATTAGAAAAAAAAAAAGTAGACCTGGTTGATGGAGTCCTGCCCACTCATCAGACCTCTTGAGTCCTCCCACTGATGTTACTGACCCGATCCAGTGGAGCAACCCAAGTATGGTATGTGCTTTTCTCAGCCTAGTGCCACAGTCAGCTCGCTTGTCCATCTGACTGCCTAACCCATCCCAATTCAAATATCTGAATCCATGATGAATCTTTTAAATTTTGATTTGTGGTTTATGTGCTCAATCAATCAATCTGTGTCAAGGAATTCTAGAGTAACTACACCTAAGTAAGACTTTCACGTTTTTACCTGGGACCTCCTCATAAGGGTGTCTGTACTCCAATGTCTGTTTGCACAACAGAGGTTGTCTGTCCTCTAAATGTCCTCTCGATGTTTATGGACTCTGTGGCCCCTCAGGTTCACTGCTCCAGGGCATCCTCTGCACTCACCTCAAGCCCTCCCTTTGGCCTCTTCAGGTCTTTATTTATTGTGCAAACTGTAAATTGGTTGTGACTTGTCCCTTTGGCACTTTCACTGGACAAGCTTCTTTACTTTTTAACACATTTTAAACTAATCAGCTCTCTGTGGAAGCTAGTAGGAAATTTTATTATTCTGAGAGACAGAGCCACAAAGGAGAAAATGAGCAAGGAAGAAGTGACTCATTTCTAAACAAAATCCTAAAATAAGCATGCTTTCCAAATGTGCATAAAATTTCTACTGCATCTGTATGTCCCTCCAGCAGGCAGCAGTGAGTTGTACGTTCCACTTATCTCTGGTATAATGAGGCATAATAAAATCGCCTCCAGAACTTGCTCCATGCTCCAGTAATATTGACAGCGCGGTGTGGCAGGACAGGAGTGCTTGTGCAGCAGGGGAGATAGACTGTCTACAGAGGACAAACTGGAGGGCCTGCCTCTTCAACACTGCTGCCGGCCATGCGCAGATGCAGGGCTGAGTTTGGGGCTTCGGAGGTGAAGCTGAGAGAAACAAGGTGGTGGTTATTTTTATGGGATTCATGGAGAAGCAAAAAAGTTTCCTAAAGAAAGTCTTTGGCTGGAAAGGATCATTTGGAAAGGATATTTCTTCATCCCCGGTATTAAATGAGAAATTCTTAAAGCAGAAGTAATTCTTACTTGGG